GGTGGGCCAAGTGCTGTCTACATGCTGCATACAGTCCCCAGGAGCCCAAGTACCATCCTTAACTTTCCCGTTACTCCTACAGCCTCACAAAAAAAATTTTCACCATAAAATTTCCCTGGACCTTTTAAGGGGCATAAGGGAATTCTGACTACATTTTCAACCTCACCTGAGTTGCTTAATCTGAGGGGGGAACTTTTTTCCAAAACCAAAGTTGCTTCCAGTTTTGAAAAAATAAAGCTTTCTCCAAGGTCTAAAACAGCCCAAAACATGACAAATTTGCCACACACAGCTACTAAATGCTGTGATAGGTCCTCATAATTTAAAAAGAGAATTACAGTAAATATTTTTGTCAGTGTGAGTGCAGAAGCAGATGTATTCCTCTAGGTTTGGGGCAGCCCTGAGCCTCTGAAAAGTGCCCACCCAACTTTAGACTAAAGCTTGGGGAAAGGATGCAACAAGTACAGTAGTACACTGGGCTGTGATCCCTTATTCTGGCAAGATGTGCAACTTTTATACAACATGGATTAAAACATTCACACACAACAGATCAAAACAGTCATTTTCAGCCTTTTGCATCTTGTACCCTACCAGTTATTCTTTCAAAGAACCTGAGACCCACTGTGATAGAAACAAAAACTATCCTCCCACTTTTCTTGAGATTTCATTATACAGTATTTATCATTTATGGGAAGTTGGTAGATAAGGGAATGGATGATTAAGAGCAACACAAAGAGTCCACAATGTTACTTTGCATGACAATAGGTCACAAATGGACAGAAAGGGTAGAGCAGGAGAAAAAACAAGGCCACAAGGGCAAAAAACAAAACAAAAACATGGGGACGGTAGAGCAGGAGAAAAAACAAGGCCACAACTGCAAAAAAAAAAGGGGGGGGATTGAGGAGGAGTAAACAGTAATTGTTGTGATAAACTCACCCTGCCTGCTTCTGCATCAAACTCATAGTACATATACCACTGGTTGAGAACCATTAATCTAGATCAGTGATTCTCCCACCTTTGGGTAACCCAGATGTTTTTGGATTGCAATTCCCAGAAGCCTTCACCACCAGTTATGCTGACAGGGGTTTCTGGGAGTTGCAGTCCAAGAACACCTGAGTTACCCAAGATTGGGAACTACTGATCTACATGATTTAAACCTACTTCTTTACAATGGAACTTATACAGTATTTCAGTCCAGCAGAACAGCAGAATACCATTTCCGAAAGCACAGTAAATGTGAGTAGTTCCAAATGTCTAATTTGTGAGAAATCGTGTTCTCCCAAAATAAAAGGGGCAATACCTCACCAAACATCCTAATAGGACAGTAGCAACAATAAAAAAGTAAAAAAATGCTAACAATAAAAGTACATTAACAGTAAATCTTGAAAGAGCATTTTGCAACCTTAGAACATTGAGAAATGTGAAACAGCTGCTGCGTTAATATTTTGTCAGAATTGCTTCATTTATGAAAAATAGCCAAAATAGTCCAAAGTCCCTAAATTGCCCTCTCCAAATCAACTACTCAAATACATATGAGACATATACTGTACCTTTATTTCTATTTTGTGTGAATGTTTCAATCCCTGTGATATAAAAATTTAAACAGCTGGTTTGGAAATTGTTGTTGAAGATATCAACAAATTAAGGGTAATACACGAACTATTAATAAAACATTTCCAAACTCTGTCCATTTTCTGCTTGCAATGTCTGCAGCTTATGTTTTCTACAATAAAACAACTAATTATTTTACAGTGCAGACACAGTGCAGACAAAACACTGCTGATCTCTTAAAGTGCTTAACACATCTAGAGAAGAAGGCACTTTTGCACCTTCCCTCCTTCTCCGTACCCCTTTGGTGGTTATACAAAAGCACAGCTTTTTAATGGTCCCATTCTTTTCCAGTGGAGATGTTCCCATTAATCCAAAGTGCCTGTTTGGTTGATAATTTGATACAGCCCTGAGATTTACTTGGATGGAATTAATCTGAGATAGGAAAAATGGGCTGCCATACTAACCAAGGATTTATATCAGAGGCAGACTGCATCTTTTATCAGAAGATAGAAAATGGCTTCTTCAAATACTACTTCCTTTGCAAAGACAGTGTTCTCTACACATACCACATGAACATACAGTATCTTTAGGCTGCTAGCAATGAAGTTCTATTTCTGTATAAAAGAAATTTTACATAAAGCAAATGATCTGGTTACAGTAAGTAATTCTAACCTGTACTGTCTGATGCTTCTCACTTATATCTTCAATAGATCAAAATCTCTGCATATCGATAATATTTCAACAATCAATTGTTCATATTCCTCTAATTCTAGCAACATGCCTTCATGTTACATAGAGACATGTATTGCAACACAACTGTAAATGAAGGCAAAAAACTGTCTTCTTGTTTACAATACATTACTTGTTAAAATAATGAATGAACTCCTTCCACTTCCATATATGGAGGGGTGGGGGAGTCAGGCAAATGTTCTGTCAGCCTGCCTACCACTCACCACCTCTTATAGGGTGCCATTCTGAATGTCTGCAAACCGTAGGATGTACTTTTGGGACACGGAGCACTGCCTCACTGCACAGAGAACAAAATAAATGCCTGATCCAGTGTTCCAGTTTACACAAATGCTAATTAGTTGAATAAGGTTTAGAATAAATGCAAGTTTATCAAGGCAGGCAGGCAAGGGTTCACATAATTACATAGTTACTAGTATTTCAACACTGAAAATAAATCCACTGCCGAACATTATTGGAGCACATTTTAAAAGATTTAATACAGATGAAAAACAACAACCATATTGATCAAGTTAGAAATATTGGCTTCCATTTCATGTTTATTTTGCTTTCAAGGCTTTTCCTCAAAAGTGGTGAACACTCATACTGTTTAATTAGGTTTGTAATTTTGCAGAAAAAAATAAACAGGGAGAGAGAAAGAAAAGCTTCCTGCTGTACAATACAGTATTTCACTTTTTAAAGCCAGACTTTTCAGAAAGAAACGTGGGATATTTCATCCTTTCCTTAGTTTGCAGTATGGAGTAGATAAGAATAAAACACATCAGAACAACATTTTAGATGTTATTACTAAAAAAAAAGCTTAGACAGACCAACTTGCAAATTGACCTTGACAATTATTTTCTTGACAAAAAACACATAGCAACTTTATCAAGCTGACGTGATAACACCTGGAATTTACCTGCATCATGTCAACCTCAGCTACTTTTATCAAGATAACATTATTAAAAATAAAACTACATAGGTAACAAGAAGCAGTACATTTTCTGTCTTTAAAATTTCAATTTTTGACTCAAATTAGCTTTCCCATTTAAAATGGCAGCCAGGAGTGTAATCTGCTGTTTAAACAAAATTGCTTGGAAATCTCATAGGAAAACATAGTAGTGCTATCCAAAAATAATATGACCCCATTTAGCACAATCAAGACCAATCTCTGGAAAAAGAAGATTCCAGTTTCTGCAGATCATTAAGCAGCTGGCTAGCTGTCCTTTGGTGAAGCTGCTTAACAATCTTGGGAAATGGGAAGCTTCCTTTCTTCTTGTCTTCGGAGGCAAAAAGGGAAAGGAAGTGTTGCATATCTGTTTAATTGTTGATAAACTATCAGTGATGCTTTGAAAGATTTTTTAAAGCTCCATTTAAAGTATTGCTGATGTGTTGTATTTGTGTAAGTCAACAACAAAAGAAATGGAAAGGTTCATCTCCCTTCCCCTCCAAAGGTGGAAAGGAAACTTGCCATTTCTCAAGACTATTAAAGCCATCTAGAGATCCCACCCAATTCTTTCCTTTGGTTATGTGAATTCAGGCTGCAGTCCACAAAACCTTCATGATTTCCCTGAACAAACAGCAAGTAGGCAATTCATGTGTCAGCTTTGGTTCCTCTATAATTATTCTAGAAACAGAGGAGTTTTCAAATAACAAGAGAACCAGAGTTATGGAAGGGCCACAATAAAAAAGCACAGACAGGTTTATGAAAGACAGAGGCTTGCAGATAATTGATTTGTGTGGAACTGTGCCATCACAGTTGCTGTGACCAATTATGGCTATGAAGAATTAAAAACCAAAAAAAATTAATGGTAAAAATCACAGCATGGTAACTGGAAAATGTGCTAAATAATTAACAGCCCACATTATAGTCAGCAGGTGCTTCTACAATTAACCCCAGTCTATTTAATTGGTAGTTATGCCAAGAAAAAAAGCAAGTCATCCTTAAACATGACTGTAACACAGATAATGGACAATCACCAAGCAACAGAAAAAGACCACAAATATAACAACCATGACTAGTATTTAAAGGTAGAAAGGGAAACCAAATATTAAGTTTTTAAGAGCCAATTAAAAACTTGGCTCTTCAGGCAGGCCTTCCCTCCTGTCAATACTTGACTTTATTCTTATTATAACTTTTTTTGTTTTTCCCATCTTGAGCATTACTAACATGATGTAGTTCTTTGCCACTTTACAGAAGGTGCCTAAGTCAATCAACATGAATATTAAACTTCCATTGCCTTTGCACTGAGCCCTGAAAAAGAAAATGGGACCTTAGGAAAAATTCTGCCTTTTCTCCAGTTAGATGGCCATTATGCAAATAAATGGGGGGGATGGGGGATTTGTCCATGTGTCTGCATGCGCTAGAAAAAAGATGCTTATTTAATGAGAATGCAAATACCTGTGCATATAGAGGTACATCTCTCTCTCTAAGTGGCATGTGTTATTGAAACCGAGTGACCAACTGAAAACTCCCAATAATGCTCAGAGAAGGCTATTCATGTCTTGCTTCTATTTGCAAAGTACACAATGCTTTGCCACACCATCAACTATTTTGTTCCCCCTCCCTTCAAAGAAAGGATAGCATAGTAGGCCATGAGAAGAAGAGTCAACAAAAAGTCAATATTCAACACAAGGCAATAAGAGCATCATTATATAATAAAACAAGAACAAGTAAAAATATTTCATTAATAGATATAACAGAACATGCAAATCCAGAAACTGACCTGATGCCCGTCTAGTGAACCGATTTATCACTGGAGCTACAAAAAATAAACAGATTTGATTAGAGATGACTTATAAAATGAAAGAACACAGAACACAAAACGTTCTATTATAGTATACATTATTGAGTATTTTAAAATACTGCAGTTAAGTCTAAATTATTTACAAAACATTTTGCAGAATGGTAAGGGTACTACTATAGATATGACACAAATGCAGTACAATGATATTATGATTAAAAAGCATTTCTCAAAACAGGCATCGTTGTCAAATTCAAAGAAGTAGACTAGGTAAAGAACCCAAAGGTTCTTGGGGTTAGCTCAAGTCCTGAAATGCAGTCCCTTCTTACTCTGCCGCGCTGATCTCACCTCTCCTTGTCTCTCTCTCTCTCTCTTGCAGTCTCCCAGCCTAGAAAGCTGTCTTTTGTGCCATCTCCATATAGAAAGATTCCTTGGATTATACTATGCTCACAATTTGTATGGCTATGCGCTTTTAACTCAGGAGCTTACTCAGCCATTTGCCTGCTAACACGGGCTGCGTAATACACAACAGAACTTCAGGCTGGGAACAGATGCATACTATGATGGGCTAGCCATGTTATATCTGCTATGGGGCTGCTACTGAAGACACAGATTGCTGAAGGAGAACTGCAGTTTTCTGTCCATCAAATGTGCCTCAGCTTTACTGATTGGGAAGAAGAGTGAGAGAAATCATGTAGACCAGACTGTTTTCCAGATATTCATCTATGAGCCTGATCCAGAACTTCTTAACCTGAAAATGCCCATTTCTAAATAACATGGCAATGCAGACACAGCAAGAATTGGCAGAAATAGAAGAGCGGGAGAGGTCCGTAGTGGAGGCGGGAATGGGCGTTATAAATAGGGAGCATGACATATACCGGGTGGCTGGGAACTCATCTGGGTAGAGGATCCCTGGACTGGGAAATGAGAAAAGATAAAGGTACCAAGAGAAGAGGCACACTATCGCCGTAGAAAAGGACTTCCCCAGTGTCCATCTTACTGGGATGAGTCAGAGGCGAGAGAGTGGAGGAGATGTTTGAGGGAAGAGGAGCAGTGGCCCGGGAAGCAGAGGAACGTCGGGCATGGCATGCAGAGGAGGCTCAGAGGATGATGTACCTCCAGGACTGTGGGGACCCTTCGTGGGAGAAGGAGACCCAACATGGAGAGAGGACAGAGATGAAGAGACATTAACGTTACTGAGGGAGGAAGGAGCAAAAGCCGAGATTCCTAGTTATGATCCGTTTGTTCCAGGACCATGGGAAATTAAGTCCTTGAACCCTTTTGATTCAGAACTTTGGTTACCCTTGCGGGGCCCGTTGGCTTTGCAAGAGAAATTACAAAAATACACATTAAAGAAGTTTTGCCGTTAGCTAAAGAAATAAATACAAGTTTGGATTTTGGTCTGAAACCGACTCCTGTTTTATTTGAACAAAAGTTGGAGGCTAATAGCGAACCCTCAGACTTTTTCTCAGTTAGAAATACATCTGTGTTGTAGGGAAGCAGATCCACCTTCATAAATAAGATTAAGCCTAGGGACTTACAAATCTAGTACAGAATAAAAGGAAGACCCTACCTCCCAAAATATGAATGTTGGCTTTAAGGAGTCAGTAACTCTTGGCATTTACTGCCATATATACTGGCTGAAGTCCTGTTGCACAGCACAGTAAATTACAACTACATTAAGCCCCTTGAATCAGTGGAGAGTTAGACAGTCAACTATGTTTCTCCACATGTTCCAGTGATTTAATGGGTGTACTGTAGTTGCAACTTATTACATTCAGCAACAGGATTTCAACCTCTGAATCACCAACCTACATCCAAAAATAACTTTTACCACAGTCCTCCACAGTTAAAGAAAGTTAATACCAGAAGCCTGTAACTGATACTCTTCTACAATTAAGAATGGAAATACTTCTTATATATGCACAATGTTCAGATACGGAGTACTCCTAAGATGTAGATGAGTTATGGCAATGTAGACAGACAGATTTTAATGTAGTCACATCAATCTCATGCTGAATTTAACAGTTTAAAATTGCCGAATTTCTGCTTCATCTTCAAAATGCCCATTTTTGATTTCACAAATATGCACAACAGTTAAATATTTCCAATGGGTATGAGTTAGTTAATGTAAAATACTATTTTTTGCTGAATCCTCCATTGTATTCTACCACAATAGCCAAAATCCCCTTCCTGCTTTCTCTCTTAAAAATCCCACTACCCCCTCTATTGAAAGGAAATCCAACTATCATTCATAGCCCATTCCGAACTTGAATGAAACTACAGTGCTTTGCTAATAGTCCTTTCCTTTATTTACACTGTACCTGTTTATTTTGAAAAATACACCCTGCATATAGAACTATAGTGACTCACAGCAGCTAACAAACATAACATACAGACCCACAAAACATAACTGAGTAAATTACCATATTTTTCCGTGTATAAGACGATACTTTTGTCTAAAATCTTTAGACTAAAAATTGAGTGCCGTCTTATACACAGAAGTAAGGGGAAAGAATAAAAGCACTGCAGGTCTGCAGCCCTTTGATCCTGCAGCCCTTTCATCACTGCTTTGCTCCTCCACTTCCTAAGCCCCACAGGGCTTACGAAGTGGCAGGGAAAGCAGCCATGAAAGGGCTGCAGGGTCAAAGGGCTGCAGTCCTGCAACCTTTTCATTGCTGCTTTCCCCCTCCACTTCCACAGCCCTTTTATCCTGCTTTCGCAGGGTTTAGGAAATGGGAGAGGGAAAGGAGCAATCAGATTTTCTTATTTGGGGTTGGAAAAGTGGGGGTCATCTTATACATAGGGTCATCCTACACACAGAAAAATACATTACGACCATGATCTTAAATGTAGAAGATTCAGAATATTATAACAAATCTGCAAGCTTCAATAACTAAAACTTTGTCCCCATTCCAAACAAAGCCTGCTGGAGTCAGAAGGTTTTTTTTACCTTTATTTATTTACTATTCTTATTAAGAACAAGGAGTGAGCTAGTTTATTGGAAATTTGAGGAAGAAATTCCATATGGAATGTGCCACTGTTGAGAACACATTTTTCTTGTTAATCTTATTTCAGAAAATGATAGGAATCAAGGCCTCTTCCAAATGTACAAAACTGGACACTCCTCCAAGTGTACAGAGGAGGGAGCATATAGGAGAAAATTCTTTGTCAGTTTCCTTCAATACCTTCATTGAATTTTTACCTTTAGGTCTTTAAAAGAATAGCAATGGAGGGATAACACCACTAGCCATCACCACAAGATTATTGAAAGCCACTTTCTCAGAATCAGTCTGATCTCCAACCTGTAATATGGCAAGTGAACCACACTGTAGACTTGTTGTGATTTGACACTATCAGATTTAGGTCTAATAATACTGGAGAGTGACTACCTCACTAAAAAAAACCCACCAGATTATTTGTCTACAGATGTCTATGTATGCTACATTTTTTTTCTTTGTCAATTGATTACAAGTTGAAAGTAGGCCACATGTATTTCTTCTGCGTCTTCTACTCACTTGACTATGCTCAGAATGCGTTTCTGCTCTACCTACAAGGTCCTCAACTCTTAAAAAACAGTAATTCCTCACTCCAGACCACCACTCTTTCTAGAACTGACACTATATGAACCTAAATAGTGCATGGAAGTTATCATCCATGTGTTCTAATAATTCATGAGGGAGGGTTGAAGCATTGTAGCATACAAAATGGCTGCTCACACCCCTAATGGCTTCATTCCTAACTTTAATAATTTCTCAACAGACTGCACATTTTCTGCTTAATACATCTAGGTTTATCTACATGACTGGGAAAAAAATCCCCCCATATCTTCCATCCAGCTTATGAAGGTCCACATGCAAAATATGTATGGACAGAGATGTAGGTACATATAGCCTCTCTCACCCTTGCAGGGGTTCTTGGAAGGCACAGGTGATAACTTCTCGGTAGAGGTTTGATTTTATTCATATGATCAAATACAGACTTAGCAGAGAAGGCATGTGGTGCAATATATTCACCATTAATCTTTTTAAGTGCTGTTTGTGGCTAACAGAATTGTTAGAAAAGCAACATCTGAATTATCAGAATTGTTAAAATAATAAATAATATATCCCAATGACCATTAAATTAAAATGAATGAAAGAGCAACAAAAAAAAACCCTAAGTTTAGGCCAGTGGTGGCGAACCTTTTTGGGCTTGTGTGCCCAAACTGGGGAAAAAAACACAACTTTGGGTGGTGTGCCGCCACCGCCAGGGCAGTGGAACCGGAAGTTGCAGTGGAAGGGGAGATCCCAGCACGGGGGTGCCTCGAGTCCCTGCTCCGGATCTGCTGCCAGCACCAGCTGCTCTGGATCCGCTTGCCGAAGCTCTGCCACCGCAGCTGCAGCCACCTTCTCAGGTTTGGCTGTGTGTGTGTGGGGGGGGGCAGAGTAGTGATCTGGCAACTTATGGCTCGCGTGCCTGCAGAAAGGGCTCCGCACGCCAGCTGTGGCACGCATGCCATGGGTTTGCCATCTCTGGTTTAGGCAATGTGAAAAGTAATAGACAAGTACTGTACAAAACACTTCCAATATTAACTATGTATCACATTTGTGACACATTCAAAGATTTTCTTTTCTACAAAGCAGGTTCAAGCCAATACATTTACTGACAGCCTGCCTGAAAACGCAACTCATTGAAAACCAGGAGAAGTGGTTTGGTCCACAGGTAACTGATTCCTGACCTGCAATAAAGAATCACAAATACAGAGATGGCAACAAGGGAGTATGTGTGGAAAACAGTCATGGGCTGGCTTCTTAAACACCATTTCTAACACCATAAAAAAGAAAATCTATCTAATACTAGCAATACATTAGCAAGAATTTTGTGTCTATTTTGACACATTGAATTTGTCACAATGGAAAATACATTTATTTTCTGTCACATCTTCCACTGCTCCCCCTTCCACAATGCTATATAAACCGTACATTTATCAATGTGCTAACTAGAGAACTTCTCTTATAAAATCTAACCTCCAAAAC